GTCTCCTACGTACTGCCGATCGCGCTCTTCGGCGCCGAAACATGGTACGCAGGTATCACGAAGCCGGCTTCGAGACGCCAAGCGGAGACAGACACGAGTCCGCCTTTCCAAGGAAGACCCGTCAACACAGGCCAGAAGGGGCTCGTGCAGAAGATCGACAGCGTCATTACAGCGGCAGCAAGGATCGTTCTACCTGTCTGGAGGACAACGCCAACCAGTAGCCTCCTCCGAGACGCCGGCTTACCGTCAGCCAAAGTCGCCTTAGAAGGCGTCCGTTTACGGGCCGCAGTCCGACTACAGAGGATTGATCGCCGACACCCGCTAGTCGCGCGGCTCTCCCAGCAGGGACAGCAACAGACGAGACTACAACGGACGGCTGAACTTCTGCCAAGATGCGGAAGACCAACGTTCCTCCAATCACAGTACCTGCCAAGCTCACAGGATCAGATAGTAGTTCAATGCAAAGAAGAGGCTGCGAAAGCTTTCGAGCGCTGGCTAAAGACAGTACCGGAAAGCCATATGATCGTCTTCTCGGACGGCTCCAGGGCGACGAACGGAGCCGTGGGGTACGGCTTCGTCATCTACCGAGACTCCAAACGCATAGCGCAAGGGTGCGGCCGACTCGGACTAGCAGAAGTGTTCGACGCCGAGGTCGAAGGGGCGCGAACCGGCCTCAGAAGGGCTCTGCTCACCAATCGCGGTCATCCAATCCACATATGTATCGACAACACCAGCGTTATACAAGGCATCCGCGGCAAGGCGCCGGACTCGTCACAAGACGCGTTCCTCGAAATCCAAGAAGCGGCCAGGATATTTGATATACGGACGCACTGGTCCCCGGGACACCAGGGCATCGAAGGAAACGAGGCCGCGGACCGGCTGGCCAAAGAAGGAACGACACTGCCGGCGCGGATGGGTCAAATGGCAACACTAGCGGGCATCAAGCGGCTTGCAAGGGAAAAATTACAAAGCCAGCACAGGAGATGGTGGTATAAAGAGCGAAGGCCGCGGTACGCGGACTTGGGGCTTGAGGCAGCTCTGTCCAGCCCTCCTGAACTGGCCTTGCCGCGGGCTACGTTACATCACCTGCTGGCGGCACGATCGGGTCACGGGGACTTCGAGCAATATCACCGACGTTTCAACCACGACGACGCTCTAATGATGTGCTCTTGTGGAGAGGCGAAAGACGTGGACCACCTGGTCTACTGTCGACTAACGCTGGCGAGGAGGCAACGGTGGCCGACCCTCCACTCTCGCAGTATGCCCGAGCCCATAGGTCCTATGGGATCTCTCGAGGCCTACTTCAAGAGATTAATCACCGACCCACGAGGCTTCGAGGCCTTTCTCCGCGTGACGGACTTCTTCCAGAAGATCTGTCTGCGGTAGCAGCATCCACACCTAGGTAGATGTGAGTGCGGACTACAAAGAACCTCCCGATTCCAAGGGACGATTTGGGAAAGAATGAAACTGGGGCACCAGCGGGAACCGGGGACAGACAGAACGCGTAGTGGCCACAAGGCATGATTTGGAGGACGATGTAAAGAGACGACGTACTGTAGAGTAGGTAGCCTTGGCTCACGGCCCTCCACGCCATATACCCTTCGGGAGGTCTGCGGTAAGGGCTCTAGCCCGGCCGCCACGGCGTTAAATACAACAACAACAACAACAACAACCTGCAACAATGGGTATCTTCCTCTCCAAACAGCCCTACTCCTATCAAGGCTGCGGTGCGGTCACCGACGCAGCCAGTGTTTTAGACCTTCAATATGACGATCCGACGAACAACGGCCCTACGGAATGCCAGGATACATGCATAAATAACTCGCGCGCTGCAGCTCTATTACTCGATGGGAAGTGTTACTGTTCCAAGAACGGTGTCACCAGCATTGAGTTTGCCTCTGGTCCTCCACCAGGCAACCAACTTTGCACCATCTCATGTGGCGAAGTGCTATCAGTGCCGTTTCTTAGTTCCTCTTTACTTTTCCCTCTCTCGTGTGGTGGATATTACAGCGGAGTCTCAGTATATAATGTCTATGCCACTTCAACAGTGTCGACGGCAACAATGACGAGTACCACCTCGTCTGATGCATCGCCAACCTTCACGACAGCTTCTACGTCCTCCCCGATCGTGACAACAATTTCTCAGGCGTCGCCTGACACGACTTTTACGTCTACAAGCTCTTCAACTTTCCCCTCATCAACCTCGTCAACTTTGTCCTCCACTTCACCATCATCCTCGGATACGTCTTCTTCGGCATTATCTCCAACTTCGGATTCTCCTTCCTCGACATCATCTTTGACCGTGTCCTCCACGTCTTCATCCTTGGATTCTTCTTCGTTGACGTCAACCTCAGCTTTCCCCTCCACGTCACCGTCATCGTCATCCTCGGATTCTCCTTCTTCGGCATTATCAACCTTGTCCTCCACGTCATCGTCACCCTCAGACTCTCCTTCCTCGACATTGTCTTTAAACTTCTCTACACCATCGTCCTCTCTAAGTTCTAGTGATGAACACATCACACTCTCTACAGCTTCTTCTTCGTCAATAAGCAGCATCGCACCAGCCACCGGTACCCTCACCAGCACCGACAGTAGCACGATGAAAACAACCGTTTTCAGTCTGACCTCTACCAGCACGTCCTCGACGACAGGTGGAATAACTTCCACCAGCTCAACTTCAACGGCGAGTCCTACAGTCAGTTCCTCCACTGGAACAACAATCAGTAGTACGACGAGCAGTAGCACAACAGCCGCAGTTTTGTCGGATGTATCGAGGGATGGGATCTCTTCATCTACCACAGTTATCACCACAAGCGATCCACCTTTCTCCAACACCACGACCTCCACCACTCGAACCTCCGTTTCCCCTTTGACTAGCAGTGCGGATAGCTTGTTCTCTTCTACTTCCACTAGTCCCATCAGCACTGGCACAACAGTCTCACCCTCTCTGATCGGACTTCCCTTCCACTTGGAGGTTATCCCGCCGACCGGTCTGTCTCGCAAATAGGCTTTCTTGTTAGATTTGTATGAGTGTGAATAGTATTGCGATTTTACTGGCGTGGACTGCCTTCATTCGTTTTAGAATTCTCAAAATGATTATGAGTTCGAGTGTATCAAAGCTTGCCACAATGGTTGATTGTTGAATAGGAATAATGGCCCGGTGTCGTCAGTAGTAGCAGGTTTGCAAAGCTTACAATATTACGTCTCCTTAATGGGCTTGCATGGGGAGTTTTAGTCTCTCCGAAAAGCCCGTTGTTGCTCCGGCCCCTGCGTCGTCGGCCCCGGTCCCGATGTTTCAGGCCCTATAATTGCCGCTTTCGCTTTCGGCGAGCGGTTCGTACCAAAGGTCCGGCAGACTGATCACAAAATGACTGCACGTGTAGTCTTTGAGGAGAGCCTGCAGAAAGAAACCGCACCTCTAGGCGTCAAGGCAGTCGTATTCGAAGTCGGTGCCGTTGAGACAGGAGTGTGCACAATCCGTCAGGCGGATAACAAAGGCTTCGCTAACTTCTCCACAAACCCGAAATACCGGGGTCTCGCCGATGATTTCTGTGCCAAGTTCGTCTCCATGGTGCTCGTCAATTGCCCTTCGGACACCGAGAGGCTTCCGGGGGCGGTGTGGAACGTGGTCATCGGCCAGTGCAGGGCTGCCGATCGGCCCTTCTCGGTCCGGGGGCCTGCCGGGGCGTACTCGTTGGCTATTATGAGGCAGAAGTGAGAAGAGCAGCTTCAAATTTGCAAGAAGTGGTAGACCGTTGCGCTTAGTGCGACAAAGAATGGTTTTTTTATGAGTCAGGATCTCATGGATCGGATATCGATTGTGAGAATATCGAGGTGAAGGCATCTTTCGTTCAGCAGCCGAGAATCATCTGAAGAACTAGAAAGAACTTGCTTGTTCAAGATAATAAGAAAGAAAAAAAAAAAAAGATTCGCCTCGGTAGGCTATATCTCTTGGCGCTCATACTGGAGTTCGAACTCGGATACTCGCTAAGCCTGTCGTCGAGTAGGCTGGTTGGTGTATTGATTGTTGATCTTAGACCACTCCACCACTCAGCTAGTTTGACCTGACCCGTCGACCTAGACAGGCGCCTGCTGGCTGGCCACGATACTAGAATCAACGGGGGGTATATACCGTAGGCTGATGGCACAAGCCCTCCCTTGTTCTGTATATTCTTCCAAGTATTGAAATAACACCAGAGTGATGCCACAACCACGACAGACACACCAATCTCAATTAGCCTACTTCTGAATGTTAGCACTGGCTGGCCGCCCTTGAGTTTGAAAATGTGAGATGCGTAAATGGGCACATGCATGAGTAACGATACCCATGACTTACCAACTCAGTCATTCGTCGAAGGCTGAAGCAATATTCATCAGCTTTCAAGCGGATACAGCCATCATGTCATCCCAGCAATCTCCATATATCAAGCATGAAGATCTAACTATATCTGAATAGTGATCGTCGCCAGGTTGACACAATCCCAGGCGGCTCAACTTACATAAACATGGAAGATAATACACAGGTGACCCGGCATTAGTGAGCGGTAGTCGTTCCCAGCACGTCGTGGATCGGACTCGCCCCTCAGTCCGTCTGCGGGGGAGAGGCAGCCCCCCAACGCCGGCCACTCGGACTCTTTGCCCGACCCGAGGAACCTTTACGAGTGGCTCGTACTCGACACCCTCAGCTTCTGTGTGACACCACCTGAGATGTTCGAATCGGGTTTCTATAACGGTATTACGGAATTACGAACTGGTAGTGGTCGCTTGGGGAGATGCGTCAAACATCCGAGGTACAATGTTTGGATCAATGCTCCAATCCTCACCACCATAAGTATGCATATCTAGTGCCCAAGCTGCTCGTCAACCACATACACCTCCCAAAATTTATCCTAACCTCTGCCGTCCCAATCACAAAAGATGACCTCAAAAAAACTCCGCGTCGCAGTCATAGGCCCCAAAGGCCAAGCAGGAAGCTGCGTCGTAGACGAGCTCCTCACGCGAGGCCACGCCGTCGTCGGTGTCTCCCGGAACCCCCCAAAGCAATGGAAACACGGCGCCGACGACGGATCCTACGCCTCAGCATCGGTAGATATCTACACCGAGCAGAAGAAGCTCATCGGCGTCTTCTCGTCAGACTTTGACGCCATCGTGTGTGCCTTTGGGCCCAGCTTGGCGAGCCTGGATACCGTGTACGAGGAAGGCGTCGAGGCGCACGGGAGGATGAAGACGGCGCTGTTGGCTTCGACGCATGAGGGCCCCTTTATTATTGTTGGTATGTTGGTTCGCAGGCAGCGGTGAGAATCGAAGTATGTGTAAGGAAAGGTGGGATTTGTTACTGAAGCTTGAGGGTGCTAGGTGGAGCGGGATCTATCCACGTCGCAAACCGTCTTCAACTTACGGACCAGAAGGACTTTGCGTATAGCTGGTGGTATGCGCACCCCCTTCGTCTCGCATAACGGCCAGAACTAGAAACTAATGACGCTGTTTGGCTAGGTGGACTTGGCCCGACGAGCACCTCGACTACATGACTGCTCGAGGCCTGGACCACGGAAGCCGATTCATCAGCGTAGTCGCCGTGTTGATGAAATGGAGCAGAAGTCACATCCAGCGACCGAGAGGTAAGTCTCTCATTCTTAGTCAGTTTTACGGCGGGGGAGGGGGGGGGGGGATGGAATACGCAGGGTCGGGTTTGCTAAGAAACATTCTTTTCATCACAGTCTACTCCTGGCTTCTCAGACCAGTCACGTATCTGGTTCAGCGCTGGCTCAGGCGATGCATGACAGACAGGAAGACCATATCTCTAATCACCATGTGTCGGATGGCCTTTACAATGTGGAACGGCGTCACTGAAAAGTCGTGGTCCTTCCTCTCGCCCCCAGGTCTATTGCGTGATAAGGGTCAGTTTCTCCCTCCTCGACTTGTCTTCTGAATACAACACTGGCAGACCCCGAGAATTGACGTTGGGATGATTTACTAGGTGTTCGGACTGGACACTACAAAGTCTTCATCGACACGCCCGAGGATCCGGCAACAGAGGCAGCGGAGAATGGAATCTACAATGAGGATATGGCTGTTGCCATCGTTGACGAAGTGGAGAACAACAAGCTTGCGTTCAAGCATTGGAGCTGTACGGGGCCTATTGGGCTGCGTAAGTGGTAGTTAGTTGAGCAAGGTTTCTCGCCAATTCACAAATGACGCTGCAAGGGACTCATTAGAGACGATGTTATGCGCAATCGCGGCCTTTGTTACTTGGTTGCAGTGACGTCCATTCATGCTTATCGCGGCCAACGAAGGCGGGCCACTTCTTTCCAGAACGCCTGAGGTATGAAGTGCCTGCCAGACCGCGAGGCTCGATACTTAGCCAATGAATCATCATCACTATTTAACAACAAGCATCTGGACCGTGTGGTTGAGGCGTAATCGAGCTGCAGAGGCCCCGGTTAGACAGTGAAGTCTCCTGTCTATTTCGGGATCCAAGTTCGATGCCTCGATCGGTCGTCTCGTTTTTTTTTTCTTCTTTCGCTTCCTCCTCACTCTCAGTCGCCATAATATGATGGATGGGATGTCAGATGCAGCCTGATCGCCAAATTTGGGCCGTCAAAGATTGTCCTGAGATTCGGACACTTGTTGCTGATCATCCCACTTACCTGCCGGCCGGCCGGTTCTAACTTGAGGTCGCGACCCGCCCCGGCTGCCGCAGCCGGGCACCGGCTTGGCCGCCGTTTCCGACATTGCCGCCGTGCCCGAGGAGAGGATTCCAATGACGGAGCTGGTGGATCCACTGGCGTCAAGACCGAAGACCCTTCGAGTCTGAGCTGCTAAGCTCGACTTGCGACATCCGATGCAGCACTTATGGGTGCAATGGCTTTTTTTTAAGGGAGTTCAAAATGAGGAACACCATTAGGCCAGCCACCAGTGTCCATCCGGCCGATTGCAAAATTTACGGATACGAAATGTTGAACTCTAAGGATCGTCATACGGGACCTGGCAGAGGCAGGCAACCCCCTTGCATAGGTCCGTCAAAAGTTGCCGTCAGCTCGAGACACCCACCAACCTTTTCTAATGAATGCCATGTTCTGTTGGCGGCCAGTGTGCCAGTAGATAGCACTGGCCGCCAGTAGAAAGCCACACATCGTAGCAACCCAAGGTAGGCATTTACTGTGGCCTGATCTCTGTCTTATGCAAGATGGAGCTCTGCTGAAGTCATCCAGAGCTCGGAGTGTTTCGGCTTAAAGAATGCGTTTCTGATCAGCGGACCCATGTGGGTTCTCACTTTCTCATGAGTCTTGCATTGGCGATTGCTTAGTATGTATCTCGTGGGGGTCGGGGTCGATATTGAGAGACAATTATGGACGGTTATTCGTTGTGATACCAGAATCAAAGAGCCAGAAAAGTTGACTTGCATACTGATATTCTCGAAATGCAGAAGGCCGGGAAATTATCGTATGCTGAGTGGCTGATAACCTCTCCCTTGCCCTTGAGACTGTTGTCTCTGAATGTTTTATTGCCAAGGGGCTGCAAAGGAGCTTTGCTTTGTGGATCGGTCGCAGACAAAGAAAAGTCGGCGCTAGTCTAGAGCTGGAGATCAAGCTGGAGCTGGAAGAGGAGCCGAAAGTATCTGTTGACGGGCTGCTTTGACAGGCCGCTCAGGCAGGTTCAGCGGAGTCGAGGTGGGCGTCTTCTGCCAAGACAATAGACGGGTCAAAAGGCAGAGGCGCAACCAAGATCCGGCTTGGCTCAAGTCGGGTGATTGAACTCGAGAGTCGAGGCGGCGACGGTTTCGGGAATAGCTGCATCGCCAAAGACACTATACTCGAGTTGGGGATTATTTGATGCTACCTTACGATCTAGGACGATGTGGCCTTCTCTTTCTGGTCGCCTGTTGCCTCGTCTTGTCTTTTCAGCCAGAGTTTGTCCTCCTGTCAGGGAACGGGAAATGGGGGGAAATCGTGAATGGAGCGGACGACCCTTTTCCGGATACGACATTGGAGCAAGCCAGCAGGCGAGCAACGAACCACCATTCCCCTGGGAAAATAAGGTCCATCTGGTCCATCTGGATCCGTTCCCGCCCCGCTGTTAGGTTGCGTCGGTTCCCGGCCCCTGGATTTGGTGCAGCAAGAATGCTCTTTCACGAGTTAAGGTGCGACCCGCCTCGGGAGCCAATTGCGCTGGGAGCTTCTCTTTATCTCAGGTGAGCCGGGCGTTAGGTTGGGGGTTCGGTGCCAGTTAGTGTCCGGTCCGGGGCATGAAGAGACTGGTAGAGACAACGCATTTCTTGGTGGTACGGTACAGAGGACGAGGGGGCGGGTAAGCTCGAGACACCTTGCGGAATGCTGTTGGGGTTGTAACTGTCGACCGATGAGCTACCTATACAGTAGGAAGTATGTGTAATGTGGCAATGGTACGGATAGCAGTACTGCTGAGTTGGGGTTGAAACGTTTTTGATAGAACGAGAACGCGAGAGGCCATCTTTAGACATGGGGTATGGCAATCTTGGATTCCGCGACGGCTATCCATCGTTAAGGAGAAACCGGGTCCGATAGCGATCATGGTACCTTTACCAAGGATTTACTAGCAGATGAATGGCAAGTGTTAGCATGTGGACCTCGAAACACAACCGAAGAGCGTGTTAAACCCCTGGACCAACCATTTCGTTGATCAATCCGACACAGGGAAAGCTCAGATCTCGCGTCTTGGACACAGAAGTGACAGGGCACCTTCTGTGCACGGTGTGTAGGTCCACCGTCCAGGAATCCTGTAGAACGGCACAATGGATGAGCATTGAGTTGAGAGCATTGGCACGAGTATGTTTCTGGTGGTGTGTAATTGAGGTGGCAGATGGACAGATGGACAGTGGAAGTCTACCTACCTTCACAGGCAAGAACGAAGTACTCCGTACCTATACCAAGGTACCTAGGTAATTAGTGACCGGTGGCCTCGTGGATCATCTTTCCTGTCTTACCTAAGAGATCCGGGGTGTTTCCTTCCCAAGCACAAGTTCCTCCCCTCCGAGGTACTGGATTTTTTTTCGACCTGGGCCAAGCTCCCCAGTGTGCTGCTGCTTCCTACCTTACCTTACTGCCACGTCCCACCCCCCCCCCCCTAAACGCCAATCCGTACATGCCACCTGCCTTACTTCGCCCTACCTCACCTTCCTTGCCTTTTCAATCCATTCTCTACGTACCTTCACTTTTCTTCTTCTCCTGCCGTCTTACGTGCCTTACAAAGTGCCTTCGTGCCTTCCTACCTTACCTCACCTGCGCCCGAGTTCCAATCCGTGGCCTTTTATCCTTCCCTTCCTTTCTCATTCGTTCCTCCGCTCCTTGTCCCCCGTGGCTCTGGCTCTGGCTTCGGCTCTGGCCTTACCTTTAGCTTTTCCTTCCCAAAACGACAACGACGGAAACCAAGAAATGACATCGAATTAGCATACACATCATCCTTGCTGCTTTTCGACTTCTTTGGACCCCGGGGTCCTCCATCCTTCGACTCGACTGTCTAGCGCTACCTGCAGTGTAGCACGCGACAGCAATACAACTTCTCCTCCACCGCGCGACGAGAGCCTCGCTCCGGCGAGCCCGCAACCATGATGCCCCGCCGACGGAGCCGTTATGTGATTCTTGTCGCTGTTGTTATGGTCTTTATGCTGTATCAGGTTTTCAAAAACCCTGAATGGGATTCCACAGGTCAATCCAGCAGCATCAAGCCCAGCGAACCCGAAAGGGGCCAAAACGTCCATAAGGATTCCTCGAAGCCACCCCCGGCCAACGATCCCGCTTCCAACAAGCACCTCAACAACCAGCCGCCCCCCGATAACGAACATCCTCACGACCAAGAGGAAGACGAGCCTGAGCAGAACCCTCAGAAGCAGACGGCCAAGCCCACTGTCAAGATTCCTCAGCTCAAAACGGAGAAGGCCAAGGCGCCCACCAACACTCTTTCTGGCCCTACCCTTTCCATCCACGCCTACAATGACGAGGTAGAGGCTACCAAGTCGCCCGAGGTCACCAAGGCGCCCACAAAGCCCCTAGAGTTGGAAGAAGACCTCCATGCCAAGAAGCCTCCCGGCCGACCCAACTTTGATATCGCCGAGAGCCTGTCGACCTCGACATCACAGATCCACTGGCACAAGGTCTCCGAGCACTTCCCCGTTCCAACGGACGAGATTATCCCCCTCCCCACCGGCAAGCCCAAAGACATTCCCAAGATCCAATATGACTTCAAGCCAGAGTCCGAGGCTGCCAAGGACAAGCGCGAAAAGCGCCTAGCCCTGATCAAGGCTGAAATGCTACGATCCTGGGGCGGATACCGCAAGTACGCTTGGATGCACGACGAACTTTCGCCTGTCAGCGGTCGAAACCGCGACCCCTTTTGTGGCTGGGCCGCTACTCTCGTGGACGGTCTGGATACGCTCTGGATCATGGGCATGAAGGAAGAGTTTGCCGAGGCTGTCAAGGCCGTCAAGGAGATCGACTTCACCTACAGCCCGACGCGCCGTGACATCCCGGTCTTCGAGACCACCATCAGATACTTGGGTGGCCTCCTCGCTGCTTACGACGTGAGCGGTGGCAAAGAGGGCGGCTACACTGTACTGCTGGACAAGGCTGTTGAACTCGCCGAAATCCTGATGGGCATTTTTGACACCCCCAATCGCATGCCCATCTTGTACTACAACTGGATGCCCGAGTATGCTTCCCAACCACACCGAGCTACGACCGTTGGCGTGGCCGAACTGGGCTCGCTAAGCATGGAGTTCACACGCCTTGCCCAATTGACCGGTAAAGACAAGTACTACGATGCTATCGCTAGAATTACCGACGCTTTCGAGGACCTCCAGAACCGTGGCACCACCATTGATGGCATCTTCCCTGAACAGCTGGACGCCTCTGGCTGCAACAGGACCGCAGAAGCCATTATTTACCAAGAGGCACAGGCTGCGGCTGCTAGTGCGAGTGCGGCCGCTGCCCGGTTGAGCGAGCCCCAGGGCCACGAGCCTGCGGCTGCTGAGGCCAAGCGTGACGAGACTGATCCGATTCTGCCGCAGGAAACTGCTGTGGCCAAGGGCAACGGTAGTGAGCCGGAAAGCAATCCGCTCGCGAGGCGAGCTGTTGGTGTCGACAAGAATGGCGAGTCTGTGGTTGAGAATGCAAACATCGATAACAAGCAGGCTTTCCCAGCGCCCAAGGTCAACGAGCAGCCCTTGTACCCCGGGAATAGTGGTCGGAGGCCATCTACTCCTACAACACCCGATAAGTCTTCATGGGAGTGCATCAAGCAAGGTCTTGCCCCTGGCGGTTGGGGATACCAGCAGTACAGCATGGGTGGTAGCCAAGATTCCACCTACGAGTATCTCCCCAAGGTAAGTTAACTTTGAAAAGTTGTAATGGGAAGGAAACTAACTCGCGTAGGAATATCTCGTCCTTGGCGGTCTGGAGCAAAAGTACAAGACGATGCACATCAAAACGGTCGAGGCTGTGAAGAAGTGGCTTCTGTACAGGCCTATGGTTCCCAAAGAAAGGGATATTCTCTTCTCGGCCAAGGTTTCGACCTCTGGCGACCCCGAAAATGACCTGCGAACTGAGTATGAAGTTACTCACCTCACCTGCTTCATTGGTGGCATGTTTGGTCTGGGAGGAAAGATTTTTGACAGACCCGATGATATTGAGATCGCCAAGAAGCTCACTGACGGATGCGTCTGGGCGTACGAGACTATGCCCTCCGGCATCATGCCTGAAGGAGCCTCTGTCGTGCCCTGCGCGTCTACCAAGAGCTGCCCGTGGAACGAGACTCTTTGGTGGGAGCACCTCGACCCGTCCGCTGACTGGCGTGAGGCACAAGTCAAGGCGTGGGAGGACAGGCAACGTGAGAAGAAGCAGCAAAAGCAGCAGGACGCCCTCCGCAAGCAAACAACTGAACGAGGCAATAAGGCTGTGGAGAAGTCAACCGAAGAGACAATCCAGTCCGAGTCACCCGTCGAAAAGAAGGACCCTCTCGACGATATTCACGTTCCCAAGGATGAGCCAAAGAAACTAGGATTGGCTGAGAAAACCGAGTACCCAGCGCCTGAGCCTGGTCTGAACAAGTCCCCTTCAAACGTTGATGAGCACCTCCTGAAGAAGAGAGACCCTGCTCCGCCAGTATCTCAAGACCCTCGTAAGGGTACTGCTCAGGAGGCCGCCAGCAACACTCTGAAGGACAAGCTCGACCTGAACAACCCTGGAAGTGCCACTGACGATATCACCGGCAGTGTGCCCAACGATGCACCCGTTAGCGGTGGCATCGTGGGCAAGATCGCGTTCGAAGAGGAGGGAGAGGTTCCCGACCCGAAGCCGCTCTCACACGAGGAGTGGATCAAGGACAAGTTGGAGCTTGAGAAGATCCCGCCTGGCTTCGTCAACATCAACGCCAGGCGTTACATTCTTCGGTAAGTTATCATCATTGATTCTCGTTCCATATTTCAGCATGGCTAACGCTTCTACAGTCCGGAGGCTATCGAGTCCGTGTGGTACATGTACCGCATCACTGGAGATCCTGTATGGCAAGAGAAGGGATGGAAAATGTGGGAGGCCATCATCAAGGCGACTCGTACCGAGCATGGCAACAGCGCCATTGACGATGTCCTATCTGAAGATCCTCAGCCTGTGGACGAGATGGAGAGCTTTTGGATCGCCGAGACGCTCAAGTACTTCTACCTCTTGTTCTCAACCCCCGATGTCGTCAGTTTGGACGACTGGGTGCTCAACACCGAGGCGCATCCGTTCAAGCGTCCTGTTTGAGGCGGGATGAAGGTGTGAGTGTGACTGTGTGTGTACGAGGGAAAGGTGCAGAGAGCATGACTTTTTGGCATAAGATATCACGGGTGGTGGCTACCATGGCGTTGCGGCGTGCTTGTGTTGATTTGCATGGCTTTATTTGCTGGGGCTGAGAATTGTTCGTTGTATAAAGTTAAAAAGGGCTGCTATCCAAGTGCTAGTCCGTAGCACAATGATGAGCGATGAAACTGGCCAAGCCTGCCTTACTCTATCTACCTGAATCTATCTTACCTCTAGTGAATACATTCGTTGATGCTATTTGATGAGATTATCTTCCTAGTATACAACCCCCCCCCCTGCTTGATTAATATCATGATTACTCTCACTGGCTTTTCTCAGCACGGTCGTCATACCTCAGTTTCACTCAACGTCATGTAAGGTCGGGCACGAGTCAATTGTCATGTCACTTCATTCACATGGTCGTAGAGAGTCCGTTTTAATGGTTTGTTTGTCATGTTCAATTTCATTTCCTTCACTCATCTCATCTTATCTGTGTCGTCTCTCTGAAGACGTCTTTGCTCATCGCCATCTACAGCGGATGACATACTCCTACACGTTGCCCATTTCCCATGCGTCCGACATCGTTTCCCCCATTTCCCTCCTTTCGTATTGCTCGGTGTCGTTTCGTTTCCGTTGCGAGCATGCTGCGTCATCCACTGCTCTCAAGAGAAGGAGCTCATCTATATTCGTGATTGCTCGCGGGAGCAAACCAACATTAAAAATGACGAGGGGTTCTTTTTGGTAAGACTTCGAAATGTCTTGCCGCCCCATGCCGGCCCGGTATGAAAGCCAGAAAGAGAGGAAAATCAAAAACGCAAAACTCGATATACAACGCCGATGTCCCAGATGCTGATGGTTTTTTTGTGCTGGACGATGAATGTGCTGATGGCGAAAGGGGTTCGAATGATGTCCCCTCCTTGAGAAGCCCTCCATGTACAAGTTTTCCCCTTCGACTCTTGCTTGGGACTATGTGCCCATCTTCTTCACACATGTATCGTCGTCAAATCTTTCGTCTCATTTAATCTTCTCCGTCGTCGGCTCCTTAATCAACCATCTGGCTCAGGACGCGAATGCTGAGAATCATGACCAACAGGCCGATGGTGACGATGATGAGCAGAGTGAAGCTGAACCAACCGAGGACCATGGCGGAAGTACCGACACCAGAGCGGACAGCGCCGTTACCGAAATCTTGGGCGATGATCGATGCGGCGACGGATGCGGTGTGCTGCCAGAGTACAGAGACCAGCACGAAGATGGAGGCGATGAAGATAATGGCCAGCGAAATCTGGGAAACGGGACGCGAGGGGAAGGGTTTGACTTCGCGGTCGGAACCCTCGGAGTCCTCCTCCTCGTGCCAACCCGGGAAGGTGGCGAGCAGAAGGAAGCAGACGAAGGCGAAGATGATGGCAATGATGCTGAGCGACTGTCAGTATCTACTCTGTGCTGAAAGGTCGGGTGGGTGAACTCACATGAGATAGGGGAAGACAATCATATCCTTGAACTGAGCGGCAAGCCAAATCAGGTTCAGGGGGTCCTGATCGACCGACACCTCGTTGGCGAGAGCGGTGGCGTTATTGCTGCAAAGCCAACTGCCGCCGTCCGGGCTGATGCAGATACCAAAGTATCCAACACGGCAAGCAAGGCGGGCATCACCGGCAATGTTCTCAATAGCGGTGTGGACATTGTAATCAACTTGCGCCGTGGAAGGAACTGCCGTGTAATGGTCATAGTACAGCGACAGGAGGAAGATGTCGGGGATCAAAGGTGATGATGACGAGCAACCTGCCAAAAGTAGAGCTATGAAGATTGTTAGCACATGGTTCGCGAGGTCCTTCAGCGTGTCTGAATAACTCACATAGAAGGATGATGGCGATTGCAATCAAGATCATCAAGACATGGTGGTATCCTAGGAACGGTACAAACCCTGCGATGGCTGAATGTTAGTCGGGGTTTGCTCTTTTGAGTTGCGTCGGGCAGAAAGCTGGGATAACTCACGATACCAGCCTACTTGGAATTTCGGCATCTTGACTGTGTAATATTACTCCAGTCCTCGAGAGGAATGGCTCTCTCGTTGGTGACCCACGCCGTCCTCCGTTGTAGCGGAGCGACGGAGGGGTTCTAGTCCTGGCACCTCAGCGCTGGCACGCTTGGTGTCTTTCCCTATCGTCGGCGGGAGGTGATTGCGCGGGCGGGGAGGGAATGCGGAGCGAGAGTAACTCGTGGCTCGATGGAATGTAGACGATTAGGTTGCTTGGATATGGTTGAAGAATCGAGTCCAGTGGAAGTGGGTTGCTGGAGAACACCGCGAGGAATGCGGGACGGTGTCGGAACCTGCGATTAGAGTGAAGCCTTTCCGGATACTGTCAGACGCAAAAACAGACTTCCACTTTTGATGCGTGAGTAGAATGCAAAAGTGAAAGTGTGTGTGAAAGTGTCAAAGTGAAAGTGCGGGTCGGGTCTTCGAAGGGTGGGAAGAGAAGTGGTTTGATGCAGATGCAGGTGCGGATATTGGGATGGCTGGGAGAGGAGAGAAGGAGGGTTGGAAGGGTGAACTTAGTTTTGTCTCTCTGCCTGATGATGATCCAGAAGCAGAATTGAAAGCGGGAAGCCCGCAGGTTCGGGGCGAGCGGGATAGGTTTGTACGTCTGCAGAATGAAATATTCAGATGGCTGGGAGGGAAGAAAAAGGTCGATGGATGTATGGATGGTCTGGAGACTGGAGAAGAGGAGCAGTGACAAGTTTGGGAACAAGAGACGTCGACGAGGATGCGCAATTGGTCCTGCCGTCCACTTTTTGGTCAAAAAGGCTGTGCGGCGGTTGCGATGCTTGGTGTCTAGGTCTCTAGGAACAGTATCCGTACGTTAGAAGGAGCTACGTAGCTACGCCAACCTCCTCTATTTACTCTTGGTACTGCGGCCGTTGTCCGGGCGATTTGCAGCGTCGCAGCGGTTCCTGGGCGAGCAGGGCGGAAGAGTGGGGCCACACCTTTAAGAGGTCCGGTACGTACCTGCTACAGTTGTCTGGGGGAGGCCCCTTCGCTGCGTATTCTGTGGCTTTTAGTGGCTTTAGTGGGAAAGAACGGGTCCCACCAGCGCGGGAAACAGGCCTGAGAGGTTCGAAAAAAAAGCCCGGTGGCTGGGTGACGTCTTTTCAGGGGTCCCCCGTCCCGTGTCCCCCGTCAAATCTATGGCCGCATCTTTAGCCCAAACCTCTGCGCGTGTCTAGCCTCGTCAGGTCTTGCCAATTCTCAGCTTCTCTTCCATCCAGTTACTATCTTAGCCGCTTAGCTGAGCTCCAAGCAGAGCAACACGCATACTCCAAAAGCCCAGAGCTCTCTCTTCAAAGACCCCTTGTCGAAACTGCCTTAAGTGGGCTGTTTAAAGCTCGCGCTTCCTCTTGTATCTCGCGGCTTTCCCTGTTTGTCCTTCGCTTGCCTCAAGCTTGCCCCTCGCCATACCCAATCCAACAGGCACACGACTCGACTCGAGACGGCATCTCGGCGGTTCCTGCATTGGAGATGAGACCCGAAGCCGGGGTCTGGCACATCGCGTTGGTTCCTTGATTTTGTCCATTCGCTCGTGTCGAGTCTTGGTGATGCGTTGTTACGGCGCACCAAAAGTCCGTACGAAGTACGGATTCTAGCCCTTTGCCCCAGTTGGCATGGCGACGGCATTAGAAACACAAAGTCCCGGATGACAGCCAAGAATCATCCTCGGGTTCTTTACGGATACAATCACTCGGCGCCCTGCCACACATTGCTACACCGGTCAGCTCGCCTGGTCTCTTACACAACAGCTGAGGCTATTCGCAGTCGAACTTCCCTGCTCTGCGGGTACATCTACTGCAGGAACCCCAGGCGGCTCCGTGTTTCCCATCGAGACCCATCGATTTCTCTCCCCCACCATGCAAAGTCCCATCCTCTTCGCCTCTGCAGCGGTAAGCTACACCAACACACCGCTCGATTTGGCGGTCAATCTCACACTTCAACTACAAACTGTCACTTTATGAATTACAATCCTCTTGTGGCTGCCAGACTGTGATCTAGTCACCTGTCACGGCTGTCGAATGTCAACCGTTCCTTCTGGCTCTCTCTCGGGTCCGCATTGACCGTCTTCGCCGGGTGCTAGCGTCGTCTGCCTGCGGTGCCCGAGTTGCCGGAAATGCCTAGATCACGGGAGTCTATGTGTTTGCCTCGCCCAGCGCAGTGACTATCAACAACACTGCCATCCTTAGGGAAACTTTCTTCGACGGCGTTGGAAAACTGTCATCATCTGGATCTGTTCGCGAAAGAACACGCCTGGTAAGCCATTGACGCAATCCATATGCTATTTCGCCTGCCTCGTCCAGCCGGTCACTGATTACACAGACTCGACGCTGAACGGTTATCCTTTAGAGAAGGAATCACAGCCTCCAAAGAATTGCCAGCGAAGAACTCGTGATGACTCACTGACAACATGATCAAGCCTCACAGTGATCCTTTGATGATGATAAGTATTTCAGCCACATGAGAAGTCACACACTCTGAGTTGTCGCTTTCTTCGGGAACCGCAGAAGCCGACCTCCGGCCTCGTTGACCCTGAATAATATGTGGCTGGTAGAGAGAGGTCATTGCGCCATGGCCAAGACTCGGATGCACCCACTGCTTGAGTCGATTCCCTGTCATTTGTAAGACCACAACGTTGGTGGGTTCCCCATTGATCTTGACATTCAACGGGAAAGGATTTCCCAGTTCATGTGAGAATCGCAAGACGCTCATGGGTATCCAAAAATCAGACAGTTACCCTGCGGTTTCCAGCCATGTACTGGTATATGCATATGCTGATTAGGTAGCCGACAAGCTGTCTCTAAATATGCCTCTTCTATGCAGAAACTCTGTAACCGTATATTTGCATGTGCCCCACCACTTGCTGTCCTCCCTCAGCTCCACGTCATTGTTCAGACCACAGTCGCAAAGTGAAGGCTCGAGAATAACAATTGGTGCGCAAAAACAGCTGCACCAAAGACTGGCCCGACATGAGCACGACGTTTGGAGACCGCACTCAGGCGGGCGCTCTAGATATCCGCGTCGAAGATTTCCTTGACGACAAGCTCCAATCCACCACCGATCTCGAGAACCTCGACTCCCTCATCGCCAATGTAGAGGTCCAGCGCAGCCAGCTCCAGACCCAGCTCGACAATGCCATCAAACAGCTCGACGAAGCTCGCCAGACAGCCGGCGACCGCCAGTCTTCCCTCGCACAGCGTATCCAAGACTTCCAGGAGCTCCAGCACAGCATCGATGTCCGAGTCAAGATTGCGGCCGCATCCGACGCCCCAAACCAGGCCATCGCGAGGCTGCAACAACCCATGAAGAAGCTGCAGACGATCGAACTTGCACAGAAATACCTGACGCTGCTACAAGATGTCGAAAATCTGCGGACCGAAGCTCGCTCGCACCTCCCCGACAGCCCAAAGGCCGCTCTAGAACCGTACTCGAAGCTCAAGCAACTGTCGAGGCGCCTGGAAGAGCTTTCAGGGCCGGCTGATGATGCGGCGGTACACCTCGTCAACCACGTGCGGAGCGTTGCCGATGCGCTATGGGGTGAGATGAAGAAGACAATGTCGAGCGAGCTGGAGACTGTTCTCAGCAAGAGGTCGTGGCCCATGGTGGAACCTAGCTCTGAGATGGACGACGAGTGGCTCGTCTGCTTTGAAAAATTGTTGGACCTCCAGATTCCCGAGGTCATTCTGAGCAATTCCACCGTCAGCTTGCTCTCGTTCGACGTTATGTCGCGAATCTTCATCTCGGAATTCCGATTCCACTTCCTCAGCGACAAGCCAACGAGCAAACCCGATGCTGTTGGATCACACTGCTTCCCTTGGTTCTTGGCAACGATTGAAAAATGGGAAGACTTCTTTAGAGACAACCTGGGTTACATACTGGCTGCCAAGTTCCGCGATACCTCCGCAGGTACCAGTCTAGTGTACGTTGATCCGGTCTGTGCTTTTATCACCAGCATGCTCCCCGTCATGAAAGAGAAGGTCCAGAATGTGGTTACAGAAACGGCCAAGAAGCCCGCCTTCTTGAGCAGCTTCATGGGCCACTTGATGACATTTGACGAGAGTATTCGGACGAAGTTCAACTACGACGGCGGTGATCCAGACCAAGGTTGGCCTGGCCTGGCTACTGAGGTCTTGGAGCAGTGGTTCGAGCCTTGGTTCCAGGCAGAGAAGGAGTTTGCTCTCGAGCGCTTTCAAGCTATCATGGATAGCCCTGATGCACGAAATATCGACTATGATTATGCCGTCACGAGCAAGACAAAGCCGACTTTCGGCGCAGTGCGCGTCACTGATTTATTGAGGTCCATCACAGCCCAATACGAGAGAGTGCGCGCTTTCAAGCATAAGATTCGGTTCTTGATTGGAATTCAACTCGATATTCTCGACGAGTTCCATGACCGCCTGCGTGGCTCTCTTGAGGCCTATCAAGCTCTCACATCGACTGTCGGCAGGACTTTGCACGGTGTTACGAAAGAACAGCTTGCGGCTCTCGAGGGCACTGGTAGTTTCGAGTCTTTGTGTAAGGTTTACGGCAGTGCAGATCATGTTGTCAACACGCTCAAGGACTGGGGCAACGAGGAATTTTTCGTCACATTATGGGATCAATTGCAGGGTCGGGCGACCAAGGAAGGCGAGACGTCGAGGATGTCGGGCGAGATGAGTTACGAAGAGGTCAAGGACCGCACCTCTGCTGCCGTCGGCTCCGAAGCGAATGACGGTGTCCTCTTTGATGAGACTATCGCTGCGTACAGCCTCAGACGCAAGACAGCGCAGGAGTTTTTGGTCAACGCACTTGCCGACTCTCATTACAAGGCCTTCAGAGCATATGCAACACGGACGCACTGGACCACAATTAGTGACAGTGGTTCCGAGAGTGAGTCGTCTGCCCAAAACATAACGTGCTGGGAACTAACCCTTTTGTAGTTGATCCGTCGCAACTCGCTGTTACACCAGAGCTCGACGAGCCCTTGAGAGTAGGTCTTTCCGCAGCCCAACTTTTGACGTCCTCCCTAACCTTGACCAGATCCTCAAGCGCAATTTGGACTTCCTACTCAAAGCTATTGGCACGGCCGCGTTCCGACGCACATGGCGCTCCGCACTGGACAAACTCCAAGATCTACTTTGGGGCGAGGTGTTGATGAGGCAGAGCTTCACTGCATTTGGTGCCGCCCAGTTCACGCGCGACGTCAACGCCATCTTTTCTCTTGTGGAGAGGTATATCCAGAACGGCGTAGGGTCATTGGGTAGTCTGTTTGACGCCCTGAAATTGCTCAACCTCCCGAACGAGCCCCAAGAGGGCACTCTGTCGCTCAAGGATGCTACAGATCGGGTGTTTACCGATAACATGGAGGCCAAGAAGCTGTTGGAAGAACTGGACATTGACACACTCACTCCCGCGAATGCTAGACATATTTTGCAGCGCAGGGTGGAAAACAAGGAATAGACTGGATATTCGTTGCGACAGGCTCAGATCTACCTACACAGACGAAAATGATGCTAGGCACTGATATATTACAGATGCCATTCTGTAGCAAGCCGTTAGGATAGATACTAGACATTCCATGACCCTGAACGATTCTATTTTACCAAAACCCCAGCGTGTGCATATTTTAGTAAATGAATCTCAAGATGAATGGTCCCCTCTCACGCATTCCGTCTCCCATCTTCTTTTCCTTTTGAGTGAGAATGGAAATTACTCAGCTAATGGCACGCATGGTCAACTCGACCGTAGCAAACGTGCCAGCACTGACAGGCATAGCCCTCAACAGCGTCGGCACAATACCCCTCCAGAACCCGCGCAGTCCTTCGCCGCGGTACGTCTGCGCGAAGCAGTCCCGCATCGACTTGTACCGCTGCTCCTTTCCGAAGCCGTCCGTCTGCATCTTGCTCTTGATCACGTCAAAGGGATAGCTGCTCAGCCACAGCGCCTCACCGGCGAGACCGCCGTAGAAAGCAATCTTGTAGGGCGCGATATCCTTGCGGTCCATGTTGTTGCGCCGCGCGTCGGCGTTCATCATCCACTCGAACGCCAGGAACCACACGCCGTAGGCCTGCGCCTCACGAAGGATCGTGACGGCCTCGCCGCGATAGAGGCCATTGTTGAGCAGCCCGCCGTGGGAGGCGAGTTTGCGGACGCAGTCTAGGGGGCCGGAGTAGAGACGTGCGGCGCCGTGGGGTTGGGTTTGCAGCCTGATGCGGACGTGCTCGATGGGGCCCGAAATGACCGAGTTTGCGACACCGGCGAAGGCGCCGGACGCGTAGTACTGGGCGTAGGATAAGGGCCCAGTGGAGCCGTTGCGGGACTCGAAGAAGCGGCGGGCTTGGTGGAAGCCTGCGAACTGGATGGAGACGCAGGCGCCGATGCCGAGGAGAGGGGTGAGGGTTCCCTTGTAGAAGGCGAGGGCACCTTCGTTTTTGTAGATTTGGGTTGCGGCGTTGAGGGCCGTTGTCGGGGTTGTTGAGGTTTGAAGGCGGACTTTTACGATGTCGAAGGGTTGGCCTGCGGGGGGTTAGCTTTCTTTCTCACTTGATTTCATCATCCTGAAACTTTAATTGTTTCCAGAGCTTCATAAAAGTTCTATGAAGGCGAACCGAGTGAGAATGAGGTGGTGGATGCTTGAGGTCGCCGTTATGTGAGGTTCGGCTGTGATTCCGAAGTCGGCTCCAAAAAGGCATCTCAAGCTCACCTCATCGCCAACCCTCTCCCTCTCATTGTTCTGCGCAATTGAACAACGTACCGAGCAAGACCTGGGCAACACCGCCCGCGGCGCCAGAAAAGAGGTCCTTGGCAGTCTGCAGGGCACCGCCCACGACTTCGGGCTCAACCGCCGCGTCCGCCATCGTGTCTAGCCTTTTCGTTTGTTCGGTTTGTTTGCCGAGCTTCACTCTCTATCACTTTGCCCCGCCACCGTTGATCGGTGCGCGCGCCCTCAGAAAAGGTCCGTTGGGGAAATCCCGTTTCTCAAAAAGAGAGATTCTCACAACTCGCGAGTGTGAGATCTGAGAATCTTAGGGACACGAGGGCGTACCGGGAACAATTGGTCTCGGGGAAAGCGTAGGAGGTGAAGTTCGTCGGTGAGAATTGAAAGGGAAATCGGCGACCACTTGTCCCGGTTTAAGCTCAATGAGATTATTTATCAAGAAGCCACCCCCCAGACACAGATAAGGCAAGCTGTCTGTGGGGACATGCAGGGCGGTCATGGCGTGCTGCTGCTAAGCCGTTTATGGCGGCGGTGAGGCTTCACCTTGATGAGTAAGCTGGTTAAGCGCGGCAGCGTGGTTATGAGGTCGGCGAGGCCTTCCCTAGTTTCCTCATCTTTTAAAGCCTAAGCTTTTTATGAGTTCATATCAAGATGTAGACTGGGTCTTGAATTCTCCAGTATGCTGCAAACTGTTTCGAAGTGACCTCCTGCCACAAGCTAGGGTTGAGTGCAAGTAGCCGAAGCCTCTACTGGTATCAAAGTCTCACCATGTGTATACAACCAATCAAGATTATTGTATTCGTCTTCATCTGTCACCTGTTTCCAAAGTTCGAGACGCCATTATAATGAATGCCAGACTGATGATTGCTATAATGGTCAGCGGTGACAGCTGCGTGACCCAAGGTCGAGGTAGTGGGAGCTACCCCACCAAGCATGTACCTTGACCCCTCACCTCGGTGAACAGGCCACCGTAGATTGGGCGGTACCGTCACTGCAGCTCCCCCTCCACACCGTTATGAAAAATCGCGAGTTCCTACCAACATCAGCTCAATTTTCACAATGTCGGCAGCGGGAAAGAAGCCGGAGACGGCTGTGTATGTATCCTCGACCTCGTTCGTTGCCGCGCACAAAGCTGACCATAATTTTTCAACCACACGCACAGCAAGGACGCCACGCCCAGCAACCCTCGAGGCATCCCCAAGGCGCCGTTCGTCGACAAGGTCGAGGACTACGTCACAACCCGCGAAGATGTCGAACCGACGATGCGCAACTTCCAGGAGATGATTTCGTGAGTCGCCCATGCGCCCGCTCGCCCGCCCGCCGGGTGGGCTGGTCATGCCACACCAGAACTTCAACCCGACGCATCGAACGAGGCTACCGGGAATGGCAAGGCCAGGCTAGGCACATGGGGAACAGCTGGTAACACATCATTCTTCTGCGCAGGAAATACCAGTTCATGGAGCTGAATCTTCAGAAGAGGATGGCTGGACTGAACGACAAGATCCCCGATATCCAGAAGACGCTCGACTCTGTCCGGTTTCTGAAGCTCAGACAGGTAACCAGCCGCTCACGGATGCATTTCTTGACAGGAGGCGCTGACATAAGAGATAGGACGACGATGAACCGATCGAGACGACATTCGAGCTGAACGATACGCTCTACTCCAAAGCAAAGATCCCGCCCACCGAAGAGGTGTACATTTGGCTAGGCGTATGACAATGACTGCTCCGCACTTGACGATGCCATGGGTTTGAAAGTCTGACTGTACAACAGGCAAATGTTATGTTGTCGTATCCCGTCGACGAAGCCGAGACTCTACTCGAGTCCAAGCTATCAACGGCAAAAACGAGCTTATCAAACTGCGAGGAGGACCTGGATTTCCTAAGAGAGCAGATCACGGTAACATTTGGCACCCAGACGAGACGGGCTCGATCGCGCATACTAATCATTCACAGACTATGGAAGTCGCCATCGCGAGAGTATACAACTGGGAGGTGGTTCAAAAGCGGAAAGACAAGGAAGAAGGAAAGGATATCAAGAAGGAAAAGGACGAGGACAAGGCTGGCAGTTGAAAAAGCGAAAAGCTCGATACCAAACAAAAATACAACTCGATGTTGTTCTGCCACTCCTTGCACAACCGCAATTTGACGGCACAGCATAAACCAACAGCTCTGGTTTTTCCACAACACGACCCGGGTCGTTGGGCCGTTGGTTCAAGTAATAGCCCTGTAGGCTTACGAATCCCGACCAGGGTCACGTATCCGTAGATGATTTAATTTCGAGGTCGTGGCTGAAGGCTTTCAATTATCGATACCCCTTTATGGCATTGTAACGATCACGAAAGCGAACTTGGAGGTTTTCGTTAGTGCTGTGCCAGATCGCTGGCTACCAGTACAGCGTCACAACATAGCTATGCACGTATGATGTTTAATCCCTGGTGGCCAACCTGTCAGAAATCCGTCCGAGGGTAGCTAAACTTAGTAAGGAAAGTTTTAGCCATTTGGATCAGCCGCCATCTCGATACCACCGGCGCTGGTCCGGTGCAGCTGACCGTGACCGAATCATGACAACCGAGAACAACGCCCGCAAGCTAAGATCTGAGACGATGTTGGGCATGAGGTGGCAGACTGCACCAATCTACAGCGGCTCTGGGTGCTCGTGGGTGGAAATCCAGATCGTTACGTAAGGCCGGGCTGTGGTAGAAGGACATACGTACTTCGTAAATTAATAAGATGCGGGTGCCGTGGCAGGCGTGGCACAGTGGGTGCGTATCCGTAGCTGCGTAAGTGCGGTGTAGACGGCCGGCTAGGTTCGACGGGAGAGCCCAATTCGTGAGGGGCAGCCAGGGGCAACAGCGGTGCGGGACCGGTCGCTATGACGATTTTTGGCATTCTGCCAGCAGGTTCACTTTAATTCGACTTCCCAAGCCTCCCCTACTTTCCCGCTAGAGATCTTCCTTTCCCTTACCTTTCCCCACAACCAGCTCTTCTCTCCTAAACACCTACAATCCTGGTTGGCAACTTTCTTCAGGACAAATAACTTGTTGCCGTTGTCCTATTGTCTCCGAATCCCATCACCTCTCCTCCACCCCGCTTCTTTCCTCTCTCTTTTCCTTTTTTGGAGGGCTCTGCAAAATCCCTCTAGCTACACCGATCTTCTTTCCTCGTCAACGCGAAGACCCCTAGAACAAAACCCCCACCATGTCGCAGCAAGAACTCGATCCCAAGTACGACCAGTACGACTACCCGACCGTCGCCCAGACGGCGGCCAACGGTCACCCTGGCCACCTCACCCCCGAGCAGAAGGCTCAGGTCGCCCAGCTGCGCCTGATGCTTGAGTCGGATGGCTACGACAAGCGCCTCGACACCCTGACTCTGGTATTCACTCCCATCCTGTGGCAGACAGGCAGCGATAGAGATGCCCGCGAATTTCTTATCCAGAGTACTAACAGCTGAATGATAGCTGCGCTTCCTCCGCGCCCGCAAGTTCGATGTCAACCTCGCCAAGCAGATGTAAGCGGTGTCTTGTCTTCCACATCAGATCGTGCAACAGATAGCTAACGGATCTGCTTTAGGTTCGTCGACTTCGAGACCTGGCGGAAAACAACCAAGCTTGACAACACCGTGCCGACCTGGGAATACCCCGAGAAGGAGGAGGTGTTCAAGTTCTACCCCCAGTACTACCACAAGACCGACAAGGTACGCGGCCTGGAGCAAGTGACAACCTGCCCAGAAGAATCACCCACTAACGCACTACTTCACAGGATGGCCGCCCCGTCTACGTTGAGCAGCTCGGTGGCATCGACCTGAACGCCATGTACAAGATCACTACCGCCGAGCGCATGTTGACCAACCTGGCCGTCGAGTACGAGAAGTGCGCCGACCCCCGTTTCCCCGCCTGCTCCCGCAAATCCAACCACCTCGTCGAGACGTGCTGCACCATCATGGACCTCAAGGGCGTCACCATCACTCGCGTCCCCCAGGTCTACAGCTACGTCAAGCAGGCCTCCGTCGTCTCCCAGAACTACTACCCTGAGCGTCTCGGCAAGCTCTACATGATCAACGCTCCCTGGGGCTTCTCCACCGTCTGGTCCGTCGTCAAGGGCTGGCTCGACCCCGTCACCGTCTCCAAGATCAACATCCTCGGCTCCGGCTACCAGAAGGAGCTTCTGAACCAGATCCCTGCCGAGAACCTGCCCAAGTCTCTTGGTGGCAAGTGCGAGTGCCAGGGTGGCTGCCAGCTCAGCGACGCCGGCCCGTGGCACGAGGCCGAGTGGACCAAGGAGCCCTGGTGGCAGAAGCCCGAGGCCAAGGCCGCGGCCGCTGCCGGCGGCGACGTCATTGAGAACAAGGGCGGTGAGACCGTTTCTGCTCCCGCTGCCGGCGCTGCCGCTCCTGCGGCTGCTGCTACTGCTGACGCCAAGGCTCCTGCTGCGGCATAAGCGCTGCCTTTTTTAGGAAATCTGCGTGCATTGGAATTGAGGTTGTGATTTGAGAGTGGCGCTGCCGGATGAGCAGTTAGAGAGAAGGCGTTGACAAATGTGGTGTTGTGTCTCGAGGTGAAGAAAGACACTGGGATGGGTGGAAGACGGGGGTGGCTACCTAAAAACAAGAGCATCTTTTCTTAGAACCGCTCATACACGTGTTGATCCTGGCAACCTTTGCTATTTCACATTATACATACTTTCATTTTGATCAATGGACCCCCTTGGATGGCATGCTCGCAAAAAAAAGGAGACCATCAGCCTTTTGCTTTCCAGACTTTATTAGACTGCAATCCAGCACAAAGTACTAAACACTGCCCATGGGTAATCAGCTGCCTCGCAGAATGCCCTTTGTTGTGGTATAAGCTCCCAACGCCTTAAAACTCCCATGAGGTTAAAGTCTCACACCGCAAAATGCCCTCATGACCGTTCTGTCACAGTATACTCCCCCGCAACCCTCGCCCTCTCCATCTTGGCAACAGTAGCAGGCATCGTCTTCTTCAACCTCCCCAACCCGCCCACCGCGCCGCCAAAAGCCTCTTTCACCTCGCCCCTCCTCTCCATCGCCTCAAGCGGGAGCACCTCGGCCTCCATCTCCCTCGCCTCGTCCTCTTTCAACTTTTTAGCAGCCTCGAAAGCGGCCTCGTCCGCGGCGGCGGCGGCTTTGAACTCGTTTGTCGTCGCGGTCGCGATGGCGCCGGGGACGGATTTTTTGAGGGCGGCGATCTCGTTGAGGAGGTCTTCTTCTTCGCGCGCGAGGTCTTCGACGCGCTGGCGGAGGCGGGCGTCCCAGGGTTCGTAGGCTTCTTCTGGTTCGTCGGAGGGGCCTGTGTTTGAGAGGAATGTTGCGGGGTCGGTGTCCATGCCGTTTATGGAGAGGTTTGGGGCTGCGTAGGTGAATGTTTTGTCGATGTACTGTATTGTGGGAGATGATGTTAGCGTGGATCTTGGGGGGCGTGAGTTATTCGCTTTCTTCTGTCTCGATGAAGAAGAGAACACCAAAACAGAGATTCAACAGGCCGTGACCGCGAGAGAGCGAAGGTCTGCGGCAAGGTAAGGGTTAAGACGGGTTCGTGGTAGTCTGACCTCGTTGACTAGACGCTCAATAGGCGCCCGCAGCTCGTCCTCTTGCGCATTGCTGCCCTCGATGTGCGGAAACGCATTGTCGAGCTGTTCCTGCGCGGCGCGCCGGACGTTGGTGAGAAGGTACGCGAGGTCGTCGCGGGATTGCAGCTCGATTTTCCTGTGGGCGTCCTCCATGGCTCTGTTTTGTTTCCTTGTTTCCGTTTTTTTTCCCCCCTTCTCTCTTCCTGGTCTTTATTTTTTCTTTCCCTCTCTCTTTCTCACTAACACGTCGAGCGATATCCTAGAGGGTTTAGATAGGGCGATTTGTGTTGAAGGTTCTTGAATACCCCTTTTGGAGGGGGAATTCCTCGAGTTCGATTTGTCTCGCGACGTTTTGGCGCGTCGTGGGTAGTGGGGGTTTAAGTTGTGGTGGGATGTGTATGTCTCGGTGTGGGTGTTTACTTGCGCCTGGTTTGCTTGACAACAGTACGGTCGCAGTTCGACCTCACCCCGGTCAGTCGTCCCCCCATCGGTGCGCGTCGAGCCCGTCGTCCGATCTGATCTGTGCTTTCCCACCTCGTAAGGTAGTTGGTCTTATCAGAGGCTAGTGCATTTCTATCTTATCGCCTTATCGACATGTGACGCTCTCCAGACTCCAGAACCAAAGGTACCTTGAGGCTTGACCTAACTGAATCGATCCCAATGCAACGCCAGCGAGCCAGCCCCGAGAACTGCCGAGATCGGACAGTCACTCCGAAGAGGCCCAGCGAATGGCTCGGTGTGGAACACAGACCAGGAGAACCTGTTCCGTTCACCTTTGAGAGGGAATGATGGGCGGTGGCACTGTGCGGGACAAGCATCACCAGAAAAGAAAGCCCCCCCCCCCCCCGATTTTTAGTTTTACCTACATGGTACCGCTTTGCCTTCATGCATTGCATGAATGCTGCAAGGGGAGAAAAGAGAGTATGGTATGGGATCATCCGCCAAGGTCACGAGGTGCAGCGGTCCCACGGTTCGGATCTTGTTCAAAGGGATGGGCGAGAAGGTGATCGACGTCAATAGTCAATATATGAGAGACATGAAGAATGACGACCGGTTCGGTGTCGGATGGTGTAGGTGTGTTTCCGGCACCAGCCGGACCACCATGTTCAAAATAGCATCACAAACTTTCCCTGCCCATACACATTCATCCAACAACTCATGCTTCCCGGCCGAACCGGATATCCTATGTCGTGCTCCGTACAAGATTGTTGCTTAGGTAGGTAGCACAATGCAGGCAAAATGGCTCAAACTCTTTTTTTTTTTTTGTTCGACCTTGAACGGCGGAAGGTACTCTCAAACTTGGCATTTCTTGCTGGATGTCCGTTCCCCCTCCGTCCGTCTGGGACGATGCATCTCGGCGCTATGACTGCGAAACTGGGACGGACCTGCATGGGGGAGGGAACAAGAGGATAGACGAATTTACCGCACCATCGAATCAAAATCAAGGGGAAGGGCATTCAAGGACTTTCAAGACTGCCGTTTCTTATCCATACAGATCCGTACGCTTACATTCGCACCATGAGGGAATTGCGGGGCGAGGGTTTACGGGATGGTTCAGCTGGTTGATGCAGCTGGGGTAAACGCTGTTTTGTGTCACCTATCAAGGTGAGAAATAAACCGGCACGGTGCGGCACACACCTCAGTGCTCAGCGGGGGGAAGAAACCGGAACGTCTTTCCCAGACCTTTCTTACCTTGCTGTTCTTCTTCCCAGAGCGTGTATTGTTGCCGTACTCATATGTCTCCATCGACCTGGGAATTCGCCGCAAACCAACGAGCACGGGAAAGCCAAAGGATAATGATGAATGCCATCGCACTTACTCCGTACACCACCCATATTCCCATGTCACAAACGTGGGGTTCCCCTTCCCAAGACGGGCAAAGCCCAAGGCGAAAGCGGAGCTTGCTTTGCTTGGAAGGGGTTTAGGTGCCATGGCGTTGTTGGTCCTTCGGGTGTGTGCGGTGAAGGTACAGTACAGTAGCGCCGGGCCTGCGGTAGCCTGCGGTATTGGCGGTCCTCCGCGGTCTGGAGCCAACTGGACCCTCTTTCTCAGAACGCCATCTGGGACGGAATGGCGTCCAAACAGGCCACACCGACGACAGTGCGCCGGGAGGAGGGGGGCTAACGGTGACCAGAGACCAGAGGTTTCGAGTCAGAAGTTGAAGGAGGTCCGTTTCAGCGATTTTCGAAGATCAACATGGTACTGTTTGCACTCATTCAATGATTGTGACTGTTGGGCTCTCAGTAAGGCATGTACTCGCCCAGTGGCTGCGAGACAGGTGGTTGGTTATCAGCCGGTCTGCCCAATTACTCCGATGGTACCCGTGGACCCTGACGTGGTACCTGGCGGGCTTGCACTACCTTGGCTGCCCGAACTCTCGTAGAAAGCGAGAAACAGGATTATGCTTGATAGGCTTAAATGTACGCCGTAAATCAGGACATTGTGTGGATCACGGTGGCGGACGGCTTTTGACTTGAATAGTGTCCTTGTGACGCTATTGAACTATGGAACTGGTGGGAAATCAATGAAAAGGGAAACCCGCGGTAATGGCGGCATAGTACACGATCGAGGAGGGTATGTGCTTGCAATCCCGTGGAACGCCCCAATCCAAAAGAAAAGCAGACGGCAACAAACAGATAAGAAATGTACTTTGAGTCAATGAAACCCGTCTCGCCAAAACAATCCCAACTCCCCCGATGATTCCCAAAGGCCGGTGTCACTAATAGCTCCTCGATGTCGAGATGAAGGAAATGCGACTTGTACTGTGTTTCCACTTGGTGTACTCCCATGCACGTTCGTATCCGGATCGAACATGGGCCCATTTGCCGTGGCGGTTCGTTCGTAAAGCAGTCTGATAAAATGATGTAAAAGAGTCGGAGGGGGTACAGGTCGTGGCCAGACGCCGTGATGTGGAAAGAAAATGTGTCTCGTGAGAATCGTCGGTCTAAGCGCTCAGGACGTAGATGTTCATGTGTAGCGTCATGGCCGTCTCTGTGGGGCGCCGTTATTGGGGAAACATGTTGTTGATCTCCTCGTCGCTGAGGACAATCTCGTGTACGGGCTCCCGTCGGTTCTCGAGCGGGGTGTAGTCGCAATCGACATACGACGGCAGGAAGATCTCTGGACAAAGTGGTCAGCAAGTGACGGGAGTACAGGCCGGGGCAACCTTTGCTCACCTGGGTTCCACGCAAAGCCCTGGCTCGAGGAGAGGTAGGTGATCTGGATGACATATTAGCATGCGTTCTCTGAGGGGGGCGAGAGTGGTCTTACAAGGCGGGGAGTTCCGTTTGGTTCGCCGATGTTGATAACGGTGCTTTCCTGCTTCGACAAGGCGGAGCCTGTCCATGATGTGAGCAAAGGTCCCAAGTTGACATGTACGAGTCCGAGACAGGCATGTCGGGCAAGGCTGCAGGTCCGGGCTGTGTAGCTTCAGAGCAAAGTGGGATGACTTACTGAGAAGGCTGGGACGACGTTCATGGACCATCTTTCGCTTCTGAATGGAAGTCGGGGAAGACGTTTGAGGCGAACTGGAGTATGTAGACGAGGAAGAGCTAGCAGCACCCCGGACCTGGGGTGACTGGTGGTGGTGATATGTGTTGGCCGACGACGGGGTCATCGGGATTGCAATCGACGACGACATGATGTATGTAGTTTCGGAGGGGAACAGCGGGAAGACCCAAGCAAGATGAGACGATAACGTTCAAGAGTGATTGAAAGCAGTCAGAGAGATCGAAGGGAAGCACGAGAGAACGCACACCGGAAGGCAGGTCATGTATGGTAGAGAAGCAGTGCAGCGTCAAAGTGAAGCAGATGTTGAAGGAGTCAGAAGTGGGATTAGAGGTACAGAATGGAGAGAAGGAGTGCCTGTGACTGTACAGTGCTAGGTCGGCTTCCTGGACGAAGGCCCAACGAGGCACCCGGCCGGTGAACACATCATCCCATGGGGGGGGTTTGATAAGAGATAGGTGCCGGAGTAGCAGGCCGTGCTAAGGACCGACGGTGACACTCACCGACGACTCTAACAGTGGAATTGCGGGAGAGACCCTCACATCATCATGGCAGGGATTCTGTGCCGTCTCCACAGTACATGGGGGTAGGCGGCCCCACACCAAAGCCAATCGGAGGTCGCCGCTGCCTCCAGTCTGGGTAACGTGCTGCAGGCACTTCGCCTTGCTCCAGGTCCTCTGCTGAGCCAATCAATCAGCCAAAGAGTGTCCAGTGGGGGCCTGCCTAGTATCCCGTCAACACGTGACTATGAAGCTTCGACCAGATTCCTGACTAAGCTGGGCTGGGCTGAGAGGCTGCATGCGTATCCGATTGACGCCTACAGGCAAGCTCGAGCACAGCAAGCACTACCACCACCCAGCTTGAAATCAACAACCTTGCCATCGTCAACGACACCGCCCATCCCCCGCGAACTCACATCCTCTACGAACTTCGAGTCATCTCGAGTACCGAAACTCCTTATCACACGCCTTTAATCCCCCCAAATATCCGACACAATGGGTGACGTCTTGGTGGAAAACCCGGCCAACCAAGTCGCCCCTCACAAGAAGACAGCTCCCTCAACAATCCCTAGTATCGAGAACTTCGAGGGCATCGCGACGGAAGGAGGTGACGACTATGCCACATTGAAGAAGTTGCAAAGACAGCTGGAGTATATCCAGTTGCAGGAGGAGTACATCAAGGATGAGCAGAGGTGCGATACTCGCACGATCAAGGCGTATGTCGTCTGGTTTGCTGACCCGCTGGTGTAGGAGTCTGAAGCGCGAGCTTGTCCGGGCTCAAGAGGAGATCAAGCGAATCCAGAGTGTTCCTTTGGTGATCGGGCAGTTTATGGAGGCCATCGACCAGAAGTATGCAGACCCCGCAGCCAGCTCCCGTTTCGAGCTCAACAATGCTAACTCATCAAAGCACCGGAATCGTACAGTCTTCCACCGGTTCGAATTATGTCGTCCGCATCCTTTCTACCCTCGACCGCGAGAAGCTCAAGCCCTCTTCCTCCGTCGCCCTCCACCGCCACTCCAACGCCCTGGTGGACATCCTCCCTCCCGAAGCCGATTCGTCTATTGCCATGCTTGGCGCCGACGAGAAGCCCGATGTGACGTACGCCGATGTTGGTGGTTTGGATATGCAGAAGCAAGAGATCCGCGAGGCTGTCGAGCTGCCGTTGACGCACTTCGACCTCTACAAGCAGATCGGTATTGACCCCCCTCGCGGTGTCTTGCTCTACGGTCCTCCGGGAACAGGAAAGACGATGCTGGTCAAGGCTGTGGCGAACTCCACGACGGCGAACTTCATTCGTGTTGTCGGATCCGAGTTTGTTCAGAAGTATCTCGGTGAGGGTCCTCGCATGGTCCGCGATGTCTTCCGCATGGCCCGCGAGAACGCCCCCGCCATCATCTTCATTGACGAGATTGACGCCATTGCGACGAAACGTTTCGATGCGCAGACTGGTGCCGACCGTGAAGTCCAGCGTATCCTTCTCGAGCTTCTCAACCAAATGGACGGTTTCGACCAGACCGCCAACGTCAAGGTCATCATGGCCACGAACAGAGCCGACACGCTCGACCCTGCCCTCCTCCGTCCCGGTCGTCTGGACCGAAAGATTGAGTTCCCTAGCTTGAGAGACAGACGCGAGCGTCGTCTCATTTTCTCCACCATTGCTAGCAAGATGAGCTTGGCTCCCGAGGTCGATATGGACTCCCTGATTGTTCGCAACGACCCTCTCAGTGGTGCCGTCATCGCTGCCATCATGCAGGAGGCTGGTCTCCGCGCCGTGCGGAAGAACCGCTACAACATTATCCAGAGTGATTTGGAGGATGCCTACTCAAGCCAGGTCAAAGGCACGAGCGACGAGAACAAGTTTGATTTCTACAAATAAGCGACTGGTTGCCCGGGACCAAGACAGACACAGGCGGAAACGGCGCATCGTGGGAGGAACGAACAGGGCTTGCTGCCAGGCTGGCAATGTAATGTCACGAAGGGCACGGCTGGGAAGGCAAGGGATAGACTTTACAAGGCTTCGGGGAGCGAGGCTTGGCGTCGCGTTGTACAATACAATACACTCGATAAACAAGTTGCGTTGCCGCCAAATGTTTAAACCTTTGCTGGAGAATGCGTGCTTGTGACTAAGACCTAAAGGAGTTCTTCCTTTCTTCCTTTCTTCCATTAATTTTGCCACGTTCATCAGAAGTCCCTTGAGTACGCGGTCGGGCTGTCTGGATCTCGTCGAGCATCAGATTTGGATGCCATGGAATCCCACCACCCATGCCTCCTCGAACGCAGACACCGATGTTCGACTGCACCAGATCCCCCTCTCTCCTCAGCAATTCTTTTGAATGAGATGAGCAGAAGTACTGAGAGCACACCTGTAGTTGACTGATACAAGTTGGGGTCGAGACTGGGCAGACAGACCCTATCTAGAACCTATCCGGAACGTAAATCCAGAACGTAGCCAAAGCGTAGGCACACACACAACATAAGAGGGAAAAAATGGGGAGAGAATATGAAGTGCCCGTACTACGAATCCGGCGTAGGTAAACTTGTGACGTTGCCTCATATTATCTTAAAAGTCTGTGTGTATGTGAGTGCCGTGGGAGTGCGAGAGAGCCCAAAAAACGCACGAGGGAAGAAAACTCCCAGATATGGGGGGCGGGGGTGGGACGTTGTCAAGAAGAAAAGGTGTTCAAAATACAAAATTACCTTGTGTAAACTATCCCCAGATGAAGATATCCGAGGACCGGCTTTTGGTCGTCGTCGTCGTCGTCGTCGTCTTCGGCGAGCGTCACTGGAGGAATCGTACATCAAACAAAACAACACACCCCGTACTCCACCACTCGGCAGCATCCGAAAAGTTTCGGTTGAGATCTCTCTCTCAATCGGAAGGCTGGCCGGGCATACCTTATCGAAAGGGGGGGGGGGGTTCCACTCGATAGGTAACAAAAGGATCACCACATCACATATCATCTTTCCTTCTCGATCCTATTACCGTATCAGTCGGCCTACATGTTTTTTTTTTTGGCCTCCCTTACGGATTCTGTATAAACTATACTGTGACTACCTTCTTTTAATGCCATTATAGTTGATATTCTGTCGCTCGTAAACAGGTCATGGATCAAGTTTAGAATGGATTGCAGTCATCAATAGAGTCAGTCTCATTGCTCAGGGTAACAATTCTGAATTTTGCCAAACCCCTTTTTCCGGATCCGATAATCCCCATCTATTGATTCGAGATCTTTTCCCATCTTCCCCTTATTTTCCTTTTTTCCTTTTACGCTCTTCCTTTTCGTTTCCTTTCCTCCATGTCTTGTTAACCACAGACGTGAGCCTGGAAGCTTTCGTTGTGAAGCCTAGTGTCGTTACTCTTAGGAAGAAGAATCTGGGGGAGGAATAACAAGAAGGAAACCCGTTCATCATGAAGCCATGGCTAAAGAGGGAAAAAAAAGTAGGGATCCCAAAGTCTATGAAAGTCATGCCCTGCCTGCCTGCTTAGTCGTGAAACCCGCTTGGAAAAAGATAAGGAAGCGATGCCGCCGTTCGCTAATGCAAAAAGTCCTAATGCAAATGAGATGCCTGCCGTCTCGAATGGGGGGTATATCCGTCGTCCCTCTGAAATCACTCTCTTTCCCTCCTCTCCTTCTCTCTGTTCGAGCAGCGGGCAAGGTGATTACGATTATCATTACCCATTACTGCTTTGGTCGTGGCAGCCGCGTCTGCTTCATCGGTGAGATCAGACCGGTCTAAGCCTGCCACGCCATGATTGTAGGTGATCCGTACGTTGATATGCTTGTACAAATCGCGTCTTCAACTGCCCAAAGTCGATAACAAAGGCAGTGATTCTCTGTTGTGAACGTATATGTGCTGCTGCCTTTACAGCTCCTAAGAGCTCAGCGCAACGCCGAGTTCGAGCATAAGCTTCACAAACTTGGCATGCAGCTCAATAAAGAAGTCGGGCATGCCGACAAGTTCAGCAAGGCCTCGAGCTTTGAGTGCGACACCACCGGGACCACCGCCCATTCTTCTTGAGAAGCCGCCACCTCCTGTAAGGAAGCTGCTGCCACCACGGTCTTGCCCTTCGCGTTCAGGTTTGATCATCGTAGGATAAGAGCTGTGGTGCTGGGGGCCTCCGAGGGGACTGGCTTCGGCAGCTTTCTCGGCCTCAGCTTCCGCCAACTGCTGAATCCATGAAGCGAGATCACGAAAGGCAGCAGCCATGAAGCCAAACGTCTTCATCGCCAGTCTCTCTTTGTGTGTGCTAAGAGCCAGAAATGCATACACACGCTTATGGCCGCGAGCATGCATATCGGGGATACGAAAGATGTAGGCTGTTGTGTAGCCATTGACTGGATCGCCAAAGAATATGGGACCCCCGGAAGCTGCTGCCCCGGCGCTGTGTGTCGTGACAAAAGCTGGCATGTTGCTTGACTGCGGCGATGCACTAGGGGTTGGGTTTGCCGGGGCGCGGGGTAATGTCTCTAGCGAAAGTGTTCGCAAACATGAGGATCGCACGATCGAGAAGGAAGCTGGGATGAGGGGTTCGTGGGTTGAGGTGTAGTCGAGGTAGTGGGTGTGGCTGACATGTCTGCCTGATGACATGCTCGATCGCGTTGTCGTAGAGCCCGTTGCTCTTCGGTGCAT